AGCTTCCCTAACAGAGTGTGTTGTCAAAATTTTGTAGTTCTGTCATTCTGCTAGGTTAGGGGTGTCCAATCTTTTGGCTCCCCTAGGCCACAATGGAAGAAGAATTGTCTTGGGCCACATATAAAATACACTAATACTAGCAAAAACTGATGAGCTAAAAAAAAAAAAATTGCAAAAAAATCTCATAATGTTTTAAGAAAGTTTATGAATTTGAGCTGGGCCACATTCAAAGCCATCCTGGGCCACAGATTGCATATGCTGGTTTTAGGTGAAAATTATATTTTGGGGTAGTTGTAATCTACATTTTTAAATGAAGAGACCTTTTCCCATGTGCTTATGAGACATTTGTATTTCTTTGCCTGAGAGCTATCTCATTTTCCTATTGGATTCTCATTTCTGTTATTGATTTTCTTATTAAATTCTTGTTTTATCAACTTTTAGGAATGCTAAATGTATTAGAAAGATTATGTGTCTGGCTGGGCACAGTGGCTTATGCCTGTAATCCCAGCACTTTGGGAGGCTGAAGCAGGCGGATCACTAGGTCAAGAGATCAAGACCATCCTGGCCAACACGGTGAAACCCCGTCTCTACTAAAAATACAAAAAATAGCTGGGCATGGTGTCACGTGCCTATGGTCCCAGCTACTCAGGAGGCTGAGGGGAAAGAATCGCTTGAACCCAGGAGGTGGAGGTTGCAGTGAGCTGAGATTGCACCACTGCACTCCAGCCTGGGTGACAGAGCAAGACTCTGTCTCAAAAAAAAAAAAAAGATTATGTATCTATGATATGATATGGTTTTTTCAGTTTGTTTTGCTTTGTTTTGTTTTGTGAGACTGAGTCTTGCTCTGTCACCCAGCTGGAATGCAGTGGCACAATCTCAGCTCACTGCAACCTCCTCTTCCCGGGTTCAAGTTGTCCTCCTGCCTTAGCCTCCTGAGTAAGTGGGATTATAGGCACCCACCATCATGCCTGGCTATTTTTGTATTTTTAGTAGGGATAGGGTTTCACCATGTTGGCCAGGCTGGTCTTGAACTCCTGACCTCAGGTGATCCACCTGCCTTGGCCTCCCAAAGTGCTGGGATTGCAGGCATGAGCCACGGCATCTGGCCCTCTAGTTTGTTATTTATCTTTTGCTTTTGTTTGTGGTGTTTTAATTTTTGTTGTTTGCTGTGCAGAAGTTTTGTTGTTGCTTCATGTGCCTTTAAAATACAGTCAAATTTATTTATTGTTTGTTTGTTTATGGCTTTTGAGTTATAATTTGAAAGTAAATCTGTCCAATTCCAAAATTAAAAATAATATATTTTCTTTTAGTTTCATTTTTTAAAAATGTAAATCTTTGATCCATTTAGAGCTTGTTAAAGTACATATTGTGAGAATAAAACTATTCTTTTCCAACCTTTATCTTTTCCCAGAGGGCTTTCCTGTTGTTTCAAAATCATTTATTAAGTTCATTCTTCACCACTGGTGTGAGATACTATCTTTATTATGCACTAAATTGCCATATGTCTTTAAGACTATTTCTGGACTTTCCACTCTGTCCCATTGGTTTGTCTATTCGTATCCCACTCTGTTTTAATTACTCAGACTTTAATTATATTTTAATATCTCATAGAACTAGTATTCCCCATTGTTCTTTTTATTGCGGATTTTAAAAATCCAGCATAGATGTTTAATTTTGTCAAAAGCCTTTTCATCATTTGGTAATTATGGAATCTTATTTGCCTTCCTTGAAAAAATCATTTGAATTGTAACTCCTACTTTAAAATAGCCAGACTGATTTTCAGGTTAGAGAGGTGCCAAGGACCTTTTCAACAATATCCTGGGTGAGGAAATGCATATGGTCCCTCAAGGACAACAATTATCATGGATACGTAATCACCAGTCTCAGAGTATTACATCTTCTCTATGTTTGTTTAATTTATGAAAATATTTGTGAAACTCCTTCTGAGTGCTTGACCCTGGATTTTGGACAAGACAGGCTGATAAGGCTACCAGAACATCAGCAAATGTGAGATAGGAAGAGAGGAAGGAGAGAGAGTAGCTGATGGGAAGAGAACAAGGAGGATACCAGAGGAGGTCAGAGAAAGAGACTAAACAGAAGTAGCATCTCCTGCAGGATTCAGTAGCAGATGGGTTGAATTTTCTCTCTCTCTCCCTGCTCATCAGATCCCTATTCCCATTACTGGTTTAATTCAGTGGTTCCCAAGTCCCATCCAGGGCCACTTTTATTACTTTCTCCCAAGAGTATGCACATGGCTTAAAAAATTTAATGTGCTTCTGGGCTGTGCCAAATTAACTGTACTTAATAATTATCTTGTCTTTTTAACAAAGTCATTTACAGCTGCCAACCAGGTTCTGGTAAGAATATGCTCAGCTAAACAGAATTCTCATACTGAGTTGATGTATTTTCAGCCAACAGTACAGAAACTCAAAGTATCAGTTACATTGAGGTTCATCTTGGATAAATGAACCATTCTGGAAGGCTTTTTGAAATGTTGACATTAGTCTGCATAGAGAGTTTGTTTCTTTGTTCCTAGACCTGTAGGGACATAAGATCTCAGGGTGAGGACCTTGGCTCTTACTTTCAATCAAGATATGGTGGTGTATAAAAGGGCCAGGGAAGGTGTAGCCTTCACCCATAAGAAGTGTGTACACTTGCGTCCACGATATATACAAGATCATTGTCTTAACTTCTCTACAAGAGCTTCCCAATGATTTTTTTTTAATAAAAAGTTGTTTTCTCATATGAATAATTGTTCTGAGTAGAGCCCAGAGTAAAGATGAGGAAAACTGTGAAGCTGAATGGAAATAATATTGCTGTAAGAAATTTTAAAACTTTTCAGTAATAAAATTGGCTCCTTGGCTTGAAGAAAAGGCCTTGATGGAGATCTGGTGAGAGTGTGATGCCTAACATAGGAAGTCATGCCAACGTCCTTCCTGCTGGTGAGTGAGCACTCCATCCCAAGACTGTGGCCTAACAAATTCAGAATCTCTGGGGGTGGGATTCAGGCATCCGTAAGTTTGAAAGCTTACTCCCCAAATAATTCCAGTAGGCAAGCTTACTACTAAAAATGTGGTCTTCAGGCCAGGAGCATTGGTAGCAGTGGGAGCTTGGTAGAAATGCAGAATCTTAGGCCCCATCTCAGACCTTCTGAATCAGAATCTGCATGTTAACAAGATTCCCAAGATATTTGTGTCCACAATAAAGACAGTGTTAAGACACAGTGTTCTAGAGGAGTATTTCTTAAAGTGTGGTGCCTGGACCATCTGCATCAAACTCACCGATGTCATAGGAGGTAGGGGGATGAGGGTCAGGGGACTGCCTTCTCCTAGCCTCAGGGACAGTCCCTCATGACTCTAAAAGGTCAAAACATACCCATTGCAGTTGGGGATGAGACGATGATAATCTACTATTGCATTCCATCTGACTAACATGATAATTCTGCTCTCTGATTGTAACAGAGTTGGTGGTAGCACTGCCAGGTCACTTAATCTAGCTTTGACACAGAGTGGAGTGTCTCCATTTAATTTGTTAGTGACAGAATAGGTTGCAATTTGGATACAAAAGCTTCTACCTTAAAAGTAGGATTAGAAGTATAAAACATTGATGCTCAGATGCATCCCTCTCTGAGGATTTTTAAAAAGCCTTAAAATGTAGAGTAGAGAGCTGAGAAAGCGAGAATGAATTCCCCTAAGTAGGTTTTCTCATCTTATAGCAGTCTTTTTTTGGAATTTGCTTAAGTCCAGATTTTCAAATAACACGAATTAAAAAAAAAAAAAAAAAAAAGAATGGAAAACTCGATCTCTCTCAAAAGATGTATTTGAAGTATGTAGTACTTTTGTGTAGTTTTAAAAACATTTCAGCTCATGTAAGATATTTAAAAGCTTCTATCATAACAGAAACTTTAAGTCGATTTATTTTCAAATACCTAGGATTCTGAAGTATGGCTCACACTTGACTGGAGGTAATAGCTGAAACCTTTCTAATTATAAAGTGAAATGAGGCTGTTGCAATTGTAATAGATAATGAAATGTGATGGGGAACTGCAATGTGATCTAACAGTATTTGTTAAATACTTACTGAATTAAAAGCAGCAAAAGCAAAGAAACTTAACACTGGGAAAAAAATCTTTAAGGCTTTGAAGACTTTCTTCAGAGCAGTGTTTCTTAAACCTTTTGGGGGAGGCATGCAATGAGGCCCCCCTTGAGATCTAGTGAAAAGCTGCGGACCGTCATCCACCTGGGCAGGAGGTCACAGGCACACACACTTGGCAATTTCTGCAGTTCCATAGATTTCCTGGAGCCCATGCGGAGAGTAATCCGCAGGCCCATGTTAAGAATCTCAGCTTTGACACGGCATTGTACCATATTGATGTCTCCCATTTGGAACTACTTTACATCCAGGGGCAACTTTCCCAGCATCTAGGTCCCAGGTGGGCAGTAAAACTAGGGCTGGCTGTTTTCACTTAAACGGAAACAATTAGGCTGGCCATCTCCTGGGAATGAGGTGATGCCAGGTGAAAAGCCAGACCACTAGATGATGCCAGGGAAAGAATCCCTTTATTGAAAAAGCCTATGCTCTTTCAGAAAAGCGCCTCCATCCTCTCAGAGGGCCCCAGCCATAGGCCAGTGGCACAGGCGGAGCCCCGAGACCGCTATGACTCCGTTCACACCAGAAGAGGAAAACTTGTCTAAGTTGAGAAGGAAACAGGCTCTTAAAAACACTGCCTTCGCCCTTCATTTACATGCGGACTCAAAGAATGTCTGTCAGAGGTAGAAGAGACTCACTCCTTCACTCTCTCCCTAACCTCACAGATGAGAAAACAGACTCTAGTGGGTCGAGGTGCTTGCCAAGGTGACATCCCCAGCTACTCGTGCTCAGGGCCCTCTCGGCAGCACCTCGCCGCCTGGCCAGGGGAGGAATGGGCGTCGGCGTCCTCGCCCCACACCCCCAGCCGCCCACCCGGCTGGGGCGCCACGGGGAACCGAGCCCCCGCCTACCGGCACCATGGAGTAGGTCATCATCATCAGCATGTCCTGGCTCTCGGCGCGGATATGATGCGCGGGCTCCCCGCCGTGGCTGCGCTTGTTGCGCGCTGAGCTGGCGGGGTCTTGGGGTGGGGCGGGCGCTCCGCGCTGCGCGCGGCTCAACTCGGCCAGGAAGGCGCGCAGGGCACCGTCCTCCCGCTGCTCCCCGCCCCGCTGCGCCTCCAGCGCTCGCAGCGCCGCGCTCAGCCCGCGCCACTGGCACAGCGCGAACACCGTGCCCGCAGCGTTGAGCGCCGAGAGCAGCGCCACGGCCGCCAGGGCGCCGCGCAGGCCCCAGCCCGCGTCCCCACGGCCTTGCTCCGCGCCTCGGGCCATGCTCTGTGCACCTCGGGCTGGGCAGGGGATTGGCAGCCTTCGACCCTGGCAGCTTTTATACGCCTCGGGCAAGCCGTGGGCTGGTGGCAGCGCCGTGAGTCAAGTCACTCTTTGGCCCAGCTGACGAGGCGGGTTGGGGACAGCAGCGGTGGCGCCGGAGCAGCCCAGAGGGACAGGCGGGCAGAAGCGGGAGAAGAGCCAGTGGAGACAGCCCGCGGAGGAGGGGCTGGCAGGGCTTGCGCTTCCAGAGTCCCACCAGCTGAGCAAACCCTCTCCTCCTGTTCCCACTGCTCTGCCCGTGGGCACTGCCGTGGCCCAGACGGGCAAAGTAAGGGTCAGACTGAGGAGGAGAGCAGGAATTCTTATGACGAGAAGTCTCCGGATTCCACCCGCTTCTGCCCCCACACTGCCCTCTTTGGAGAAAAAGCTCAGCATGCCCAGATGCTAAAGCACGTGCCCACTGTCCATGGGAGGTCTGGTCCTAGGCCCAGCCCCAGGCTGCCCACGGGGCCACTGAAGACCCCAGATGACCTTTCCCAGCAAGGGGATGGATAGGGGCAGGGAGACAGTTGGCACCGGAAGGCGCAAAAAAAAAAAAAAAAAAAAAAAAAAAAAAGAAAGAAAGAAAGAAAAGAAAAATCCACCCATCAGAACCAGAAAAGCCCAGGCCTGCCTGGCAAACAGGACTCGTCCTTGAAGGGAGAGTTCCAGGATTTGACAAGCCAAGAACTCTCCCATGAGATCCAGACCGGGAAAATGGCAGAGTGATGAGGAAAAAAAACAACCCAGGAATCAGGAAACCTGGTTCTAAAGCCATTCTGTTGCTACTCAGCTGGGAGGCTTTGAGCATGTCCCAAGACCGTGCAGAGGTGCTTTCTGGCGGAGGGGTTGGAGAGCTGAGCCAGGGTTGGGCGCTTATCCAGCCCTAGGAAAGCATGTTGTCCCATCCCTCTCATTTACTCCTTACAACTTTTATGTTGCCCAGATACCTGCTCTGCCTTGAGGGCCACTGTTACCCAAATGCAGAGACACTTTTGAGCTTCCTCAGAGGACTTCTTCACTCATGAACTTTCTCAGCTTCTCCTACAATGGCTCTGCTTCTCTGGTGCCCCAGGGCCTGTGGGAAACTAATGTAGATAGCCATCTTCTTAACCCATGTTAAGAACCTCAGAAAAATATCACTCTTTATGGATGGCTCCTATTTGGTAGACCCAACCAGAAGCAAGGATAGCTGTTACCATAGCCCCATAACTCAAGGAAGAGGTGGCTCCCGGCCATTGAGCCAGTTGGAGCAGTTATAGAGAAAGGACTTCCTCTGGCAGAGGGGCCTCGCTGTTTCAGCACCTGGGGGAGACCAGTAGAAAGATCAGAGAGCAAGAACCTTTAGACTTAATAGTAGGTGCTCTGTAACCATCTACTCCCCAAAGATTTGCATTCCGCTGTGGTTTGGATCTATGTCCCCATCCAAATCTCAGGTAGAATTGTGATTCCCAGTGTTGGAGGTTGAGCCTGAAAGGAGGTGATTGGGTCATGGGTGTGGTCCTTCATAAAGGGTTTAGCACCATCCCTTCAGGGCTGTTCTATGATAGTGAGTTATCATGAGATCTGATTGTTTAAAAGGGTGCAGCATCTCTCCCGCCCTCCTCTTCCTCCTGCTCCCACTATGTGAGACTTCCTGCTCCTGCTTTGCCTTCCTCCATGAATAAAAGTTTCCTGAGGCCTCCCCAGATGCAGGTGCTCCCATGCTTCCTGTTCAGCCTGCAGAACTATGAGACAATTAAACTTCTTTTCTTATAAATTACCCAGTCTCAGGCACTTCTTTATAGCAAGGCGAGAGAATGGACTAATACACATTCCAATTCTTACAGGCAGGTTTTTTTTGACACAGGAGAGAAATCTGAGTAACATCAGACTTCTTGCCCCCTACTCTCCAGGGTGAGCCAGGGTAGAGCCTCTGAGGATGCACATGGAAACTGAGGTGAGATCTCAATCAGAAATTCTGGATCAAGGTTCAGATTCCTATGTTTTAATAGGAGTATTGACCAACTTCAGTATTCTTAGAAAAGCATCCAGGATAAGGAGAAATTAGGAAAGCATGAAGGTCCACGTAGTTCATTAACTACCCCTACTGTGGGGACATGATGGAGAGGATGGCAATGATGATGTAAAAAGCTATGTCAGTTTCCTTTCAGCTGGAACACTCTGTGACCTACTTGAAGAATTGTCACGTATCCTTATCTGTTTTCATCCAGGTGTCAGGTTTAGGGCCAATGAGGAGGAGCCACTGAGTGGGAGGATTGGCACTCAGCATCAGTCAGATCCTCAATGAATTCAGTAAACACTGAGCACTTCCTGTGCCAGGTATGATCATGGGCATTGGAAATACAGGAGTGAACAGGACAAGTAGCTTATCCTGTGAGCAGCTGGAACACCAAAGAGCCTTCTGGGCTTCTCTTTATCCTAACATACATTACAGTTACTGCTGACTGACCATCTGTCATCAATACCCACCATCAACCATGGAAGAGAAGGCTCTTGAGGCTAGGGGCCATGTCACCCCCAACATGTAGCACAGTTCCTGGTTTGGAATTCAATATTACTCATTGAAGTGAATGAAGGAATGAGGGAATGAATGAATGAAAGGCTGTATAGTGAAGGCATTTCTACATAGAACAATGTGGTGTGTGGTGGGGGGTGTGATCTTATGATTACATATGTATAGGTTTTTGTCCATGGTTCCTGGTTCATACTTCCCATGACAGTCTTTTGTTATAACATAGAGGTAGTTTAGCCCTCAGAAAACAGAATCTCTCTCTCTGACCTTCTTTTGCCCTCCTTTCATCCACCCAAGGCAGGATTCTATAATCTGTTTATGGATCATAAGATCCTCATTCCAGAGGAATTCATGCCCTATACCCTGGAGGGAGGAATGCTGCAGAGAGATGAAGAATCTGGACAGACACACCTTGCTGGGATGAGATCACGTCCTTTTTGTACAATCACATTTTGTTCAATTACATGCTTCAGTCATGAAAAACCAAAGAAGTTTCCATAAAAGGCCCAGAGGACAGGGTTCGGGGGTTTCTGGAGAGCTGAACACGTGGAGGCAGACAGGAAGGTGAAGAACTTATCCTATGAGGACAAAAGCTCCTGCACCCAGGATCCTTCTACACCTCACCTAATGTATCTCTTCATCTGACTGAGCCCTCAGCCTGTAGGATCAGACACTCTTTCCAGGTAGATAGTGTTGGAACTGAATTGGAGGACACCCAGCTGGTGTCCGCTGCTTGGTGTGTGTGTGTGGTGGGGGATCCCTACACATTTGGTCGCAGAAGTCTTCTGTGTTGATAATTGTTGTCCTGATGTGAGAGCAGAGGAAAAACACGGCTTGAGAGTTTTTCTGAAATTGGAGGGCCTAAGAACTGTACTGTTCTATGCCACAGAACTGCCCCCAACCACCTTCCTTGCAAGTCTGGCTATCCAATGGTCAGGAGAGGAAGTGGTAGCCTGGACCAGCCTCCCCACTTTTCCACCTCCCACCCCAGTTGAGAGCCCAGATCCAGTAGACGGAGTGGAGATGAGGCCTGCTTGGAGTCAGGCAGGCTCTATCAGATAACTTCAAGCCAAGAAGCTGCCCCTCTTGGGCTGGAGGGCTCAAAAGTCTTGTGGCATGGGCACAAGACTTGGGCTGGGTAGGTGGAAAGCATGGGGTATTGCTCTGAGGCAAGAGAGGGGCAGAAGGAAGGGCAAAGGAAAGGCCAGACTGCTTTCCTATCAGACTCCACTGTCGGATCTCTCTCCAACTCTTCCTGTGGGGATAATGGCATTTTTCACAGAAGAAGGGGGATGTGTTGATATGGCCTAAGGTAGCCATCTTCACTCATCCCTCACCCTGAAGTGGCTGTGGCCAAGCAGCTGCCACCATCTGTCCTCTTTCCCCTTCTCCTCTATCTTCTGTCTCCAACACTCTTGCCACACAGAGACCTGTCTCCGTCGCTGACCTATTTCAGTGTTGCCCGCTTTAAAGCCTAGCTCAGAGCTCCCTTCCTTATCCAGCCTTGCCTTCCCAGGCCAGCCCCAAGCCTTGTGAGCTCTACAAGCTGCAGGGGCTCTGTGGTTATTCACCTTGGCTTTGGAATCAGACCTGACCTTGAAATTGTTTTTTAACTGCATGACTTTAGATCTGCTACTCAACTTCTCTAAAGAGGCTGCAATTATCTATTTCATAGGAGTGTGAAGCTTTAATGAGAAAATACATGTAAAGCACGTGTTGTGTAATAAATGTTCAATGCAGGTTTGTGTTGCTGGGTATGGGCTGTGTGAACTGGCCGTGTATGCCTTGTGCTGTTAATTGACATCTTAGTTCTTCCATAGCGTATTTCTTCAGTTGGGTTACAGTATTCTTAAGGAATGGACCTATCTTAACTGTGTCCCCTCATAGCAGGGACTTTTGCCAAGTAGGAATATTTGATGAATCGATTGATTAGCTAATCACACTTTGTAGATGCTTTTTGAGGTACAGAAATTTGAATGCATGATAAACCGGGTTCTTATATGAATACAGTGGCTTTGAGGTTGGCTATATGGAGCCTTTCAGTATGGATCCCTAAGCCTCCTGAGACTTCCTGAGAGGCAGATATGCCTGCATAGGCTGCCCTGCCTGATACTTAACAGAATGGGCTGCTACTTTTTACTTATTATTAAAAAAAAAGTTAGCTACCAATCTGTCCTGTTTTGTTGACACAGGAGGCTCAAGATAGTGGGGACACAGGGAGATATCTAAACTCCCTTTTCTGGAGACCAAAGAAGCCAAGAACAGTGTGTGCTATCTTTACAATGAGAAGTAGTTTTTCCATTAAAAGGCAGATGCTTCGTTTCCAAAAGTTAAATAGAATGGTCCTTAAAAATGATTCCAGCTGGTTAACTTTAGGGCTCTGGAGAATAAAATCAAATTCAAGATTATACCCCAACTCTAGTTCCATAACATTTCTTCCCGATTGTGAAGTGAATAATTTTCCTGTACTCCAAGGCCTGGCACCTGGGTATTCTTGCCTTCAGTGATGAGATTGGCAGCTACGTTATGACTTCTGATGGCTTTGCTGCCCGCACCACCCTTCCTCCCCACCAGTGATTAGGGAGAAAGTCACCCTAAAAGTTGTCACCACATGCACCTTCCACTCATCCTCTTCTGGTTTTAACTCCCCATTCCTACTTTTAAACCCCAAGAAACCTCACACCACCCAACCAAAGTCAGCAATTCTCCCTTTTTTCTTTCCTTTGTTCATTCATGTATTCATTTACTCAGCAAATGGTAACTGGGTGTTTAATATCTGCCAGGAACTGTGCTAGGAGCCAGGAATAGCATGGAGAGCAAAGTCAGGCACCATTCCTGAAGCCCAGAGCGGGGAGACAGATTTACCAAGCAATGTTAGACATGAGGATGCAATTCTAAATGCAACCATGAGATAAATGCTCTGCAGGAAAGGAGTGCAGTTCCTTGAGATCATATCACTGAAGACCCTGTCCTAGATTTGGATGTATAGTTCATGGAAGGTTTCCCTGAGAACAGGATGCTTGTGTTGGCATCTAAAGCTGAGTTGTAAACTAGGCGAAGGTGGGAGTGAGGAGACTAGCAGAGAGGAGGAACAACATGTTCAAGGCCCTATGGCAGGAGATGCAATGGCTTATTTCAGGAACCATAAGAAGGCAATGTGGTGCAGCTGGAGCATCAGGAGCAAAGAGGAGGGAGGGAAGTGAGGCTGTAGCCAAGGCAGGGGCCAGACTCTGTGGGTGGGACCTTCCCCATAGGGTAGAGGCCTTTACTGTGAAAGCAGTGGGAAGCCAATGAGGCGTTTTACACGTATGTGGGAAGGGAAGGAGTAGGTAGATGGATAACAGATTTTCATTTTAAAAGATTACCTTTTATTGCCCAGACTTGCGGTAGCTTCTGTCACTATAGAAACCATGTATGATCTCTGACCTCCACCAGGGCCAACTTCAGCCTTTAAAACCACGCTTCCAAATGAAATAAGGAAGTGCTGAGTTCTAGAAAATGTCACTTTCTCTTTCATCTGTATGTAAAAAGATAGTTAAAACAACAGAACTGTGACTAACATTTAGATCATTTAGCCAATCTTGATACTAGCATGAGTTTTTGTATGATATATAGCATGTTGTTAGCATTTTCATAGAAGTTAGCCTTTGGTGCTTCCAGGTAAGAGCGCCAAATCAGCTTATCTCCAGGGCTGGGAATAAGAATAGATGATATTGCTTCCCTTGTGAGATTTTGGTCCAAGTTGGGCAGGTATCAACAGCTTTCTACCTGTCACAGTTGCAGTGTCTAGACCTTTGAGTTGCCCATTCATTGTTCGATGTGGAGCTGACTGTGGTTGTGAAGTTGATTCCATTTCAAATCCCCTCTTCACATTCTTTTCTCTCCTTTTTTGCAACAGACATGCCCTCACAACCCCCCTCCCCCATTCCACCTTTCTAGTGTAGTATATCTGATTGTCACAGGTTAGATTCTCTGGAAACAAGTGCTGAGACGCAATTTGGAGTACAAGATGGTTATCAGGGATCAGCACCTGTAGAGGAAAGAAGGAAAAGCGGGATTGGGCAGAGGGACAAGTCCAACACACTCCAACCCTGCAAATCCTCAGGCGACCCACTGGGAAGTTCTGGATTGTGTATTGCCGTCAGAGTGTCCTGTGTTAGGACAAAGTGACTGTCTCACTCAGTCACAGGACAGATGTGGGCTGCCCTGTGAGGGTATGACTTAGGGCCAGGTGGCTCTCTGCAGCCAAAACACACCTTAATCTTCATCTCTGCAGCCAGGCACTCAGTCCTTTCTCGAAGAGGGACCTAGGGCACATCTCCATGTCTACCATAACAATCACCTGATTTGTGACATTAGTAGGCTTTAAATTGTAACCATGTCAGGCTGTAGAAAGAAATCTTTTCCTTTTTCACCTAGAGTTATGGCCTTTCAATGAATAAAAAAGTGATTGTTTTCAGAAACAATGCAAATATAAAGGGAAGCTCTAAGAGTGGATTCTGTGAAATCATGGGAATTGCTCATGAATTTGAAACTGCTAAATCCACAGAAGTAAGTTAATACTGCAAAGCTCCACTTATGAAATGCGAGCCACTGTTTTTGAAAGGATAAAACAAAGCCTTGCATGTGTAGAGCACTTCAGTTTTCAAAGTATTTTCTCATGTCATTTGAGTTCTATAAGCCTGTGAAGCGGGCAGGGCAGGTCTTATAACCATTTCACAGATGAGGAAGTCAGGGCTCAGGAAAGCTTAAGTGATCTGCTCAAGGTCACACTGTTGAAACTTCATCAGCCTTCATTTATGCCCAGTTTATCAAAAGTAGGAACATTTTTGGCCCCCATCTTGGGCCACTCAGGAATGCTCAAAATCATGGACAGGAAGTGAAATCATACAGCAGGGAGAGGATTCAAAGTGACAGAGTGGAAAAGGGCTCAGACTGGCACTTGGCTCCAAGGCTTAAAAAAAAAAACCTGGGGCAGGCACTGCATGCTAGAATGTATAAGCTAGTCAAGAGAGAAAGCCAAGCCTTGGTCTAGCAGATTAAGGGAGGTGTTAAGAGAGCAATGATGTAAGAACATGATTTCCTAGAAACCATGTAGGGGAACTGTCATCTCTGCAGTGAAGAGATGTGTATAGGTCCTAAAAAAAAAAAATGAATTTGGGGCCTAATAGCCAAGGACCTTTCCTCCTCCCTGGGTTGCAAAGACAGAGTAACAAGCTAGAACAGATAGGCTTTACCTCTCCAGAGAGACCGGTTGGGAGGGACCAAAAGGGATTTCTGCCAATATCAAACCTGGAGAAGATGACACCCTATTTGCCGAGCCTAGAGACTCAAGCCAGGGACGAGAGAAGTGGCCCTAGCTAGGGGAAGCCTAGGTCTAACCATAGACCCTAAACTCATGATACTTTCTTAAAGTTGTGTAAGTAAACACATGGTCTCCAAACCACCCCTGATTCTGGGAATAAGAATAAGAGGGTACTGGTATCTGGGCACCAGTGAGTATCCTGGGAGATGGACCTGGCTAGACGTGGTAGGGAAGTTGTGCAGGTGTGCTGAGTCTATCTCTACCTCTGAGCCTGGGAGATGTGAGAAAACAGGAAAATGAGAGTCTTCCCCCAGGGACCTGATGGGGGATTGATAACCACCATTTGTGGATCTGTCCCTTCTGAGAAGGCACCCCTGC